GGAATATTTATATCGGCCGTAGCATAAATAATTAAATTTCATATTCATATGGCTTTCAGGTTTTCTTATTCTATGATTGCTGACCTAAGCAATCTCTAAAACCCCATCACATATTTTTATTTCAAATATCAAAGTCCATATTTRAGGAATATATAATAAATTGCTTCATATCATTCCGGTAAATACAAAATTGCTTTCAAAAAATTATCGGCGAGTTAAAATTAGCAATTGACAAAGCTTTAAACGTTTTCAAGCTCTTGTACAAAAAGCTCCTCAGCTATTATATGAAAAAAAAATGAAATGTATTAAACTTGGTCCAAATTAAATCGTTTTCAGTCTGGTCTATCACTAGTACACATTTTTTACTACAATTTTTATGGCTTGTTTGTTGTGACTCTGCTATTTATACATCATATGTAATTACGCTTGTTCTGCGTGTGCATGTAAAAATGTATGCTTTGATTACCATTCTTCCCTCTTTGAGTTTGTAAAAAGTATTTTCAGATCCAATTCTAACAACGTAGAAACTTTCGCTTCACTTTCCACACTCATTTAACTACATGAACATGAATAAACAAGCAACAAAGTTTGTTAGGGAGAACTTTACTTAAGGGCAGCAGCTATGCGCAGTGCAAAATTGGTATATAAAAATATTTACAGCAAAGGCGAACTAAAATTTATTTAAAAACAGAAAATAAATGCTAAAAAGTGGAGCAATGAAAATTGGCAACCACAGAAAACATTTATTTTTATTTTTATTAAATTCACATAGAAATAAGATGGGAATCATACATACTATGTCAAAGAGTACAGCACAGTGAGTGAAGTCATAGTACGTCTGTCAGCGAGCGCTGATGCAGCCTGCATAAAGAGCTAGTGCCAAGTGGCATGCAGGATGCGGGCTTTATGGCTGCGGTTTGGGACAGGCGGGGTGTGTGCTTTTCAGAGTTTGCTGTGGTGAAATAAATCCTTACAGTCGCATGCATATTTAAATTACTGCACTTCTGCATACGTGAGTTTGCATTAGGGTGGTACAATTTTTTTTTAAATTTATTTGATTTCAATTTTATATAATATGTTTAAGAAAAAACAGGTAAAATTTAAAAGATTTCGGTTATATAGTATGCTCCACATATAGAAATATTATTTGCAGACACTTAATTTTGTTCGTTCAGCTTGTATGACAGCTATATGCTTTAGTAGTCCGAACTGAATAATTTGTTCGGAGATTKCACCGTTGCTTCGGACAATATTCTCTGCTACATTTCGTGAAAATATTTATAAAAATAAAACAAAGTTTTCCTAAGAAGCACGTGATTTTGATCAATCTGATTGTATGGCAGCTATATGCTATAGTGGTCCGATGTAAATAATTTCCTCGCACGTTACATCAATAGCTTACACAATAGCTTTAGGCAAATTTCGTGAAGATAGCTCATCAAATGAAAAAGTTTTCCATACAAGCACTTGTTTCGGATCGTGCAGTTTGTATGGCAGCCATWTGATATAGTGGTCCGATATCACCCGTTATGACACATGAATAGTTTCTTGGTGAGGAAAGAATGCATGCAAAATTTTAGATCCAGATGTTGTCTTTAAGACTGAAGGACTAGTGTGCTCATATACTTATGTACGGGCCTGACTTAATCGACTCAGTTGGTGGTTTATATATACATTCTATAGATTATTCGAAGTTCCCATCGTGTGTTACAAACTTTATAATAACCTGGTTCAGGATATCACTTAGGATGCCAAAACATGTTGAATGATTATGTGTTCTAAACCCATTTTCGAGGCGCATTTTGTATAGACTTTATCGATTGGGTCCTTCTAAGACAATTCTAATTTTACTGATCTTTTYGAAATGCCTTTAAATTTATTAAAATTATATTTCTAATATATTTTCACTGAGTAGAGCTCACAACAAAAGTTGCAAAMACCATTTTAAAAAATTTATTGGTGCACTTAGGGGCCACCCTACTATACACATGTGTGCACGTAGCTGTAAACGCGAATACAATTAAAATGGGTGGAACAGAACAATGTAATRACGGCCATAAATGAGATCAACAACCGCCAACGCAGCGACTTAACTCTTGCTGCCGCAGCTGCATACTTTCTCCCACCCACACGCCCTCCTCTCTCGCGTCACTTTCTCTGCGATTTCCGGCAAAAGTTAATAATGTCGGAATTTAAATGCGCAAATTCGCACACAATTCGTCATTTGCATGCGAAGTCAGTCAATTATTTACTCACGCACCCTTACAAATATACACACAGATTACCAGGCATATGGGCATATGGGCATATGGGCACAAGTGTGTGTGTGTGTGCGTGCGCGCACTTTAAACTTGACGAATCGAACGCGCCATACGCGCCAGCACTTTCGACACTTTCATTTACAGCGGAAAATTGGTAAATCTCTTTATGCGAGCGCATAAATTGAATATTGTCACTTCTTGCTGTTTGCCGCCACTTATTGTGCGGGCGGCGTGTGTGTATGTGTGCTGCATGCGCCGCAGTGGCAACACCCGAGTAGCGGATCAGTGTTGCTCTGGTGGTGGTGGTGGTGCTAGTGGTACTTCAGCACTTTGCGGTTCACCGAGCAATTTGCCAAATTAAATTAGACCACAAAAGTGCCGTCAACTCCAGGCCAGCAACAACAGCGCCAACGTTGAGCTGCAACAACAAACGGTGCTGTGGCAACAAAATGCTGTACAGTGGCAACAACACATTAGTGATCGCCAGCAACGAATAAATTCCTGTGAGTTTAAATACGGGCGTGCCCTGCGCCGAGTGGGTGAGTGGCAGTGTGGGATGTGGCACAGATAACGAATGCCTCAAATAACTGGTAACAGTTGGTAAGATGGGCTGCTAGGCTGTTGCAAATATAATGTACAGATGAACGGTACTGCACAGTTGTTGGGGCACTTCGGGCAATGAGTAATAATGTAAGGAAGAATAAATAATCAAATTGTACTGGCGCTGGTGTGGGTCCATCAAGCTGAGCTATGCCGGACGCGCCACAGCTTTGACCCCAATATAAAGTATGAATAAGTAGATAAATGCTCGAAAGGAGCCGACTTAAAAAAGTAAATCCGTGTAAACGGATAAAATGGTAACTGTAATCTCTACGCGCCCGCAAACAAGGGTGCTCAACGCAGAGCGGCGGCTAAATAGGGCCTGATTGAAGTAAGGGCAGCTGGTAGCATAGAGCGTCGTAATAATTAAATAGCTGCCTGAATGGCGGCGAGTGCCGCGTTTTGTGCGACAAGCGCGCAAGTGGATCCGCTCACCGTTAGATACGAGCTCAGCTGCGTTTTGCGAATTTGTTGAAGATTTATTTTCGCTTTTGTTGTGCCTTTTAACCGCCTATACAATAATGAATGCGACAAAATGACAGACGACAATTGTATCTAGTGGTGGTTTTACTTGTTTGGTGGTATTCGTTGAAGGAAAAATATTAAATTTGCTTTAAAGACGATATATTGGAAGCAAAGCGTCCCCTGAACATAAAATTCTTGGAAAATAAGGTCTATTATATTAAGTTATGGATTATCTGTTTAACTCTGTGTTGAGACGTGACTCCTGAACTATGTAACTTCTTCGACGTCAATGCGTGGATGCAAATCAGCGATACGTTGAAGAACACTGCTTTGATGCGGATTGTGACCATCTACCGGGCTGAAAGAAAGGACTTGGCGATAAAGTCCCACACCGAAATTGCGCTTTTTTATATGGCCACTGTATTAAATGACACAAGGACCTAATCATCTCAGCCCTTGTCTCCTCCATCACTCTTATTGGAAGGCGGTTACTCTTACGAGGACTTCAAACAGCTGAGCAGCGGGACCTTCCCAATTAAATCGGAATCCTTGGTACGTTTGCAGTAGTCATCATCAAGAGGGAGACTCCAATTAGAGGAATCCGGACACAAACTGCAATTCGAAGCTGTTTTATTTTTTTATATCCTCTATAACATTACTTTAACTTCAAAACTTTAGTTGTTCGCTAAAATGTATAAGGCTTGTAATACGAAATTACTTAGAGTTGACAATGCAGGAAGCCGGTGCATTTCAGAGAAATTCGGCTAATAATGCGGCGTAGGGCAATAGCGATGTCAATCCTCATCTAAAGGACGCTGAGCGCATTGTACTGAACTGTACGCGATGTACAGAGTATATAGAATACACTCGGTGGTAGTTTTACGGCCGAAAATTTTACGACACAGTCCACTGAGAAATGGAAAGCTGACAGGGAAGCGTTAGCGTTAGTAATGACTTATCTGAGGCTTTCAACAGATTAAGCGTCCGTCAGGCCGCACAATAGAAAAGTCTGTCACTATCACAAGATATTACTTACTTTCTTGAAAGAGTATTGAGTGGAGTATATTGGGTTTAGCGGATCAAATTTCCATTTTCGATGACTCAAAAGTTCGATGCTTCTCCCTACTTTAGAGAATAGTAATAATGAAAACAGATCTTATATAATGAGCGTTATCTTAAATTTAATGGAACAGTTTGTAATATAGCTAAATGCTACAGGGGACCAAACTGCTCTGAGTTCGTATCATTGTCTTGTACATTAATTGTTGTTCCATTTTGTGAAGATATCTCGGAAAATAAAATGTTTGCCAGGATTCAGGATTCAGAATCTAGTACTTGATTTTGATCGACCATATGACAGCTATATCACACAATGGTCCGATTTCGTGGCTCTGACGAGTGAGTAATAAAAGGAAAGGAAACCGACTTTTCGTTTGTTTGGCATTTAGACACCAAATGAACCACCAAAAGAGGCCACACCAATCATAATTAGTGATATTCTTGAAAAAAGTTCTATTACTGAGGGTTTGTTGAGTGCATTTGAGTAATACAACCTAAAAAGAGTATTTTTTTTTTGGTTTAAACTAGAAACTATTTTGTTCCAAAATTGTATACTTAACAAACACAAACCATATTAAAGTCATATCCAAAGTGTTTAGTGATAGTTGAACTTACATTTTTGAACCAAGCATACGAGCTCACTGGAGGTCGCGCGTCCGCACGACACTTGAACGTCACATTTTGACCCTCAGCTTTGGTAACAAAGCGGCTCGGGTCCTCGTTCGCTAAATGCACGGACACTGTTGGCGGATCTGTAAGTACAGTAAAACAGAAAATGTGCTATATTATATATCTATATATTTACATATGTAGTACATGCATACATTATATACTTGACTCGCAGCTGAACATTTGCGCTGCTGGTGTATTTGAGCGAGCATGTATAAAATAAATATTTGCTCGACTGCCTAATAAAGAGCAACATTAATAAAAATGTAAACAAAACCAACTACAACAAGCAATAACAACAGCAGCAACAAAAGCAACAGTAAGAATTAAATGTAGCTGAAGTTGGCGGCAAGTTTAATGAGCGATACAAATTGCAGCATAAAAGTAAACAAATGAAATAAATTTGAATGGGTCAAAAGTTGCCGCCACAATAAGCCACAATGCAGTAATGCGTAGCCGGCAAACAATAACGACCATGCACAACAACACAAGCAACAGCAGCAGTTGGCGCTGAAAAATCATTTGTGGCAAAGCCAAAGACGCGCACTTGGCAGCGCAGGACTTGAAGAATGCATGGAAGGCAGGGGGCGATTTTGTATGAGTCGCACATATGTATGTGCATGTGTTCGTGCTTGTTAGTATGCGTGGTTATGCAAATGTGCGTCAAATATTTATTACTTGACCAAAGTACGCATGTTTCTATCTCAAAAAGTTAGCGTAAGTCTTTTGTGAAGAAAATTTTTGATTATTTTTACTAAGTTTTTCAATTTTTAATGATTTAAGTCCACCTTTCATAGTAACAACTGCATTTTTTAGACCAAAAACTGTGCGTTTAAAGTATGTTTGTCAATTTTACGCCGCTCCACAATCTTGCTGTTTTGCGTGGGTACTCAACAAATTTAGTTTACAGCACCGCCACCCACACCTGCCGAGCTAATAAATGCCATGCTCTCTCCTATTATGTTACCTAATATATTTATAGCCACATATTTATTACATTCTTCAACTACTTGCGCCCATCGCTGCGCCTTGTGTGTGGCGCCTACTGTGCGCAATGTCTATTTTATGTAAACAATAGCACAACTTAGTTGCTAAATATACATACACACACTATAGCTAAATATATTTATATTGCAAATGTTTCTAAACAAAAATGCCAAAATGTTGGCAGTCGCCATGAGTACAATGTTGTCTGCCCCATGGCAGCGCATTAAGTGCGGCCCATTAGCTACGCTTCCGCGCGTTTCACTTATATTCCAATACAAGTCGGCTTTGCCACAGCACACAAACACACACAGCAAAGTAGAGTAGCGCTCACTGCATCTGGCTGAGCTGAGGAAGATTCATTTGAACTAAGGTTATATGAAATTTACTGGCTTAACGAGTACCATAGTGAACTCAAGTTGAGTGGATATAAAATTAGTCTAATACTCTCGTGGAATGGAGCGTAGCGTAATTGGATATATGGTGCGCTCTACACTGATCACTAATTCACTTTCAAACATGAAATTGGTTTGACCAAATGCGATTATAAATATACGCACATACATATTTGCAGGTATATATTTTTATTAGCGGACAATATGCAATTTATAGTTTGAGGCGGCAAATGTCCAACRTAAAGGCACTAAGCTAAGCGGCGTGTCTATTTTGAGGTTAACAAGCGTGTTATTTTTTTTTGATAACAAGTAACTGAAGGCACAAAAAAATTGCTCAAAATTAAATAAAGCAGGAATGTAATAGAAAATTCGAGCTTTAAGACACCACGGAGTGACGCTTTTGTGAAAAGAAAAAAAAAAATGGTTGCTGAGGCACCTATAGCTGTCCATTATAATAACTTTTTCTCATTCTTYTGATGCTTTTCTGATTAAGTTTGTTTTGTTAGGGTCCCCAAATCAGCAATTGCTTCAGTAACGGATTGCTTTCGCTATATAACTGAGACTATTTTCTTCTTTCGACTATAGAATAGGTAGTTTTTGTAGTGGATACACATTTTGTATTCCATAAATGTAAGGAACAGATCAAGGTCAATAATTTTTGAAGGCAAACAAATCATATTAGGATTGGATGGATTCCCATTGAACCAGGAAAAAAAACCTAAATGCAACAAATAAGGAATAAAATTTTATACACTTGCAACTTGCAAAGAACAAAAATCGGCAAGTTCCTACAGGAACTGTCAAAAATTTATATTAAGTTTCGACCCGATTTTATCTATTTTTGCCAATGCTACATTCGTTTGTCATGTCCCATACTAAAAAAATGTTCCCTTGCTTTCATAAAGTACCTCATAYACAATTACCAATTATATGGAAAGTTCGAAAATCAGTATATGTCATATGGGAGATAGTTCTAGCTTTCGTCCAATTAAGTGAGGGTCTCGGGCCAAAAGTTGTGTTATGACTCCAGGAAACCGTAGTTAAGCCAATAATGTCTTACRGAGCCGTTGTTTGGTGGAGGGCGCTCGGAAAAACTATATTAGTTAGACAGCTAGTTCAAAGAGCGGTCCTCATTGGCATTATGGTGCACTAAGGAAAAGATCAACAATAGTATGCCATTCTAATCGTTGCATATATAGGGAAGCTGGCTATATGATATGAGGTCCCGGGCACAGGCACATTGCAATTCTGCACTATTTCTATTTTATGCCTAACAATTTAGAACACTGCATCGCAGAACCTTCACATGGCGGTTTCCTCTTTGCTCATATAACTGCGAGGAGTTTGGTTGGCGGGGCCATTGCAGAAGAGATGCAGTAAGATTTTTGCGGACATACCAAAGTTAAAAGGGAGGGTAGCAGATAAAGTCTTTTGTCAGGTGCTCTTCATTAGCTCTTTTTTTGGACTAGGAGGTCGCTAACATGAAGATAGCGGTAGATATACTGCTAAGCTAAGCGGCAATACTTTCTTTGAACTCGGTAACTGTGCGCTCAAAAGTAGTCAAGGAAAGTATGAGCTTATTAGCTATAGCTTCAGGCTTCTTCTATGTTAGACTTGAACAGGTGAACCTCCAGTGAGCTTTGCAGGCGCTGATTAACCAACAGAATTTATACAGCTGAGCGATACTACTGGCCCAAAGTGGGTGATAAAATGTCCACTGAACTACTTGCGCCCGAAAATTAAATATTTTGGAAGACGCTTTTCTTTTTTTGTGGCTTTTGCCATACAGAAATATTTTGGGAGACATACTTTTGTGGAACCCAGCGAAGGAGCCGATTTATTGACTTAATAAATTTTTGGTTAGCACAAAATGCTTAGTCGATTTATGGGGATCCTAACTTCAAAGAGTTTTTCGGCAACATAAAGAGCAAATATTTGTTCAAGTAAGTTCCAGTGGCTTTAGACTTTATAGCCTAACGTAAGTTAACATGATAGTTACTTTGAGTATCCCGCTCGACAAATATCGAAAAAAAGTTAAACATTCTATATACTATCTAGAACAATCTAGATTTTTAAGCCATGTTTGATCTAAATTTTGAAAAAATTGAGCTGCTTCGCTTGTCGCCACCTCGAACTCTCTTCGATTCTGTACTTCGATCCATTCCCTGTTTCAGCTAATCAACATTGATTTGGTTGATGTGACAAATGATTTTTCCAGAAAATTTTAAGTAGTCGCAGCTCCTAGAAAAATATATGACTACCAGCCTGCCATGTTCASTGGGMATCAAAGTATARTTTMTCTTTTTTACCTAGACATTTTATGTCATTTTTAAGAGCAAAGCGAAATTTCTTAGAAAATCTGGCATTTAAAATGAGGCCATAGACCGCTAACATCTTTTATCTATCAAGAGTGAGACAATTCAATTCAATTTAATTTTTTACTTTTCATTTAATGCTCACACCGAGCACGAACACAAATTCACTKTAATGACTTTAATTGTACGAATATCTATAATTTCCGTTATTTAAAATGAACAGTTACACATACGTATATATAACTACTCGACACAAGTTTTCTCGTTTACTTACATGCCACTCGAATRATGCGCTTGTCCTCGATGGCGCTGCCGGAGAACCAGGGATTCGACGCACGACACATCAGCTCGGCATTATCATTTTCCGATGTTACCTTTAARTTGAGTATGCTGGTTGTGGTATTTGAGTCCTGCGAAGAGAAATAAGCAAAGAAAGGCTATAACGATGAGTAAGCATATCAATACCCATAGAAATATATTAATGGATGTATGGGTGAGTATGTATGCATGTAACTGTATTGAATAGCGAAATGTTAAAGGGAAATAGTGAAATGCATTTTTAGCATCTGTCGGAATGGCTAAGACTTTGGCGCGGATAATATGCGGACAGTTAGGGCAACGAGTGTGCGCTGAGAAAGATAGTATAGTTCATATAATGGCCAACTCAGTGGAGAGGGACAAGGGATAAGTGCTCGTGTGCCAGTAATAACGGTTAAAATAAGCACAATACCCACACATGCATACATGCACACACCTTTTTAGCATCTGACATTCGATTACATTGGTTGCGGTGGAAGTGGTGGCGCGGTGTGAGCAGCAGGAAATAACAAGCGCCAGCAAGCATAGAACAACGGTAAAGTATGTACTCACATGCCGTTCTGCTGTTGCCAACGAAAGTGCCACAAACAAGAAATTATATTTAACAATGCCAGCAAGAGCTTTGGCATACACACGCACACACATGGTCGCGTTTTTGTAGTTAAGGTGTGTGTGCCTGCCGTTAGGTATGCCTTTAATGTATTTGTGCTCATAGTTGTTTGTGTAGCATTGTGCCGTGTAGTGGATAACATCGGTATTGCTGTGATGTGGCGATATGGTAATGGCTCAAAATATGCGCGCATGAACGACAGTGGGWGTTCTTGGAGACTTTTTGGGTCCGAAGATGTTTATTTATTATTTAGCTGATACTGAAGGAAACATATTTTTATTTTTTTCGTACTATCCGGGGTATAGAARAAGCCTTACTAGGTGGAAGTGAAAATCTATTTTCGCGGCATTTTGATATTTTGAATTTTACTTGCCCTCAAATTCATTGCCCCTAAATGTAGGCAACACATGGCGTTCACATTTTCATTGGTGTAAAAATAAGTTAATTTTAAAATTTATACACAAGTTCGAAGTCTTGAATACACTAAAGAAATTTTAATAAATGAAAAATTAAAATAATTAAAAATGTAGAACAAACTTAC